AAAAATTTGGGACAACGTTGTCCCAAATAGCCGTGCCGTTATTTTTTTGTTTTTTCCTGGCGTTTTGTATCGCACCCCGGTTCCATCTCTCCAACCGGTGCCATCTCTCCGACCCCGGTGCTGAAATGCAATTAAATACTCCTTTCAGTTTTTCCAAGGCACCCTGGTGCGATCTCTCCAACCGGTGCCATCCCCGATGAAACACACACAGATCTTGTATGCACGCACCCCGGTGCCATCTCCGCGACCGGTCCTACAGTATTGATACCAGTGTAGGCACCCACGCACACGGTCTTCTTCACACGCTAGTTGATAATGCTATTGAACAATATAGAACCACACGTACGTGTAGGTACCGTTGTTGCTGGTTGGAAGCACACCACCGGTAACGGCAACGTAGGCTGGTATGTACCAGCTTTGCATCGAGCGAGAGTGGTCTTGTGTGTGTTTGATGCGAGTTTGGCTATATGGCATGACAACAACAAACGATGTCGATGCCATCTGAGGTGGTAACGTATCAATTGTTTCCCGCTTTCGTTCCGGTCTTCTTCTACGGTTACCAGTACGTACGCAGCAGTACAATAGTCTCAGGTTGTGTAAGGTGGGGTAGGGTGCGGCTTCTACGGGTTGTGTTTGGTTGAGTGTACGGTTGGCAACTTCCATACCAAAAACAAATTGAAAACAACTGGCATCCCGCGTGAACCGCGACCATCCAATCGTACGTAAAGGAGTAGCACTCCGCTGACGCCGTCCCCACGTGTAACAGGTTCGCACATGTACCTCATTTCGGCAGCTGAAAAGGAGCTCAATCTTGGAATTGGGGGTCGCGGAGATCACACCCGGTGCGATCTCACCGACCCATGTGCGTAAGTCGAATTAGTCTAGAATAAATGCTTTTTTCTCGGGTTTATTGTCGCACCCCGGTGCCATCTCTCCGACCGGGTGCCAACTCTCCGACTATGACGGTAGTCGAGAACAGGTTATCATATGGGATACAGCACTGCCCTTAATTCCTCATCAATCTCATATTTNACTCCGCTGACGCCGTCCCCACGTGTAACAGGTTCGCACATGTACCTCATTTCGGCAGCTGAAAAGGAGCTCAATCTTGGAATTGGGGGTCGCGGAGATCACACCCGGTGCGATCTCACCGACCCATGTGCGTAAGTCGAATTAGTCTAGAATAAATGCTTTTTTCTCGGGTTTATTGTCGCACCCCGGTGCCATCTCTCCGACCGGGTGCCAACTCTCCGACTATGACGGTAGTCGAGAACAGGTTATCATATGGGATACAGCACTGCCCTTAATTCCTCATCAATCTCATATTTTCGCGACAATATTCTGAGCCTCGTTCTTTTACAGACAGCAATCAATGGTCAACTCAACGACCGACGCACCGACCTGGGAATAATCCGGGTAGACGGTGCTCGAGGACGAATTCATACGCACGCCCATTCATATAAGGCCTGCAAACGTATGAACGCATTGTGCATTGACGGGAGCTGGTGCTGAGCCAACCCCCAATCACGATCGCCAACGCTCGTCAAGGCAACTGGCCCATTCAGAGTGAGACTTCAGGTCCATCCTTTGCTAAAAAATTGCGTTTAAACTCTCGACTCATCTTCACAGGCGACACACACTTTGGCTTCGATAGCTTCGTAGAGATCATCACCGAACGAACTCGTATCACGCGAAATCCTAAACAACGACCCGACCCTGACCCTGCATAAAGACTACATGGTTTTCTCGGGGACAAATTTGATCGTGGCGGGTATGGGCTGGATATTTCAAAGTACATCGTATATATGTAATAGTGTTCTCCAGGCTTACAAAGCTTGCTTATAGCCTACAGGTGACGTGTTACGACTCGAAGAGCCCAGCGAACCCATCGAACCAAAGCGAAAAAATCGAATTGAAGTGCTGCAGCAGGAGTCACAGACTAGACTACCGGACATATCTTAATCCCTTTGAGTTCACCCCACCCCGCGGGGAAAAATAGTTTTCCACCACGCGGGGAAAAATAGTTTTTGGTCCAAAAGAACGACCCAGGGCGAACTCAAAGGTGAAACTATTAGGGGGCGAAAACATAACACAAGAAACTTGCGATAGCAAACATGCGCCCCGGGTCTATGTCAAGACATTTTGTTCGAAGTGCGTATTTTTCGGTCGGGGGGGCGAACTCACCAGGGGTTACGGTATTCACACAAGCACAGAGACACTCCAGTACGATCGTTTTCGTTGTTTGCTCTATGAGAGGCCTCAGGCAGTATGGTTTGGTCACTCCACTTCGTCTGGTCGGTGGAATTAGGTCTCGCAAGTACAGGCGTTCTTCACCGACTAGATTGTGACATCGAATGAGTTCGGCGGGAATGTTGCAGCGGGAGCTGCGTGTTCACGATTCCATCCCTGGCGTGTGACGGAATGCATGTCTTGTGTTTGCATGTGTGTCTGCATTTATGGAAACAACAAAGCTGAGGTGACAATGACAATGCAATACGTAGTTTCCCTCCCAAAAGGCGCCGCAGCATGCCGAACGTGCCAGCGAAACGCCCACGTGGCTACCCGTTCCGCGTTTTGTCGTCTCCTACCCTTCGCGGAAACAGCCAGCGATTGAGTTCTCGACCGCAATCACCCCCGCTAGCACTCTTGTGCCCCCGGCCCTTCAGCAATATCTACGGGACGTGGAGCAATACATGAAAGCGCCATGACACTGTCCTCGTGCTACGGCAGTGACTTCCTTTCTGCCACTAATTCTGCACAGATATCGGCCGTGATTAGCAAGCATTTATGAACATAGATATATACCTGTGATGTATCTGCCTGGTGCCTAGGTTTTATGGCGCGCGCGACGAGGAACAAGCTCGTTGCCTTGCGACGTTTGAATCGATCACCACTGCTGCTCGCTGAAAACAGCTCCAATACCGATATTGGGAGGACGATTGGTTTGACGGTTCCACGAGTTTTGTTGACCACTACTTGTTGTATTCATGGAATTGCTCTACACACAGGGAACCGCTAAAGGGAGGGTCCTTACAACACAGCAGCGTATCCCACCCTGACCTGCAGAGTTCTACTGTGAGCCCTGCCAAACACCGCGGCCGTGGTGGAAGCACCCTTTGACAGCCTTCTACCCCTTTCTGCAAAATCGTCTACTCTTAATTTAGCGGGCGATTCTTTCTCCACGCAACAGGCATATCACCAATTGAAAACAGGAAATACAAGCCAAGAGGGAGCAACAGAAGTCGAAGCACGCGAAAACCAGGCAAGAGCTGTCACTTCTATACAAGTTCCCACGCTCTGTACCGCCCACCCGACCTTCCAAAGGTCCCTTCTTGCAGTGATCAAGCGCCTTCTCGACAACATGCGAGCAAGAGACCGACCTGAGAACCATCTCGCTCACTCTCCCTCGCACAGTGCGGAGGCAAGAGGACCATCAGCGGCAAGAGAGGTGGCAGGTCGTCGTGTCGTCGTCAGGGCACGAGTCGTGTCAATGCCGCCGCCCCCGTCTTCACGATCGGAAATAGAGCCGGTCCTCCAAGATGTCTAGCACGGTGTGCAGCATGTTGCCCATCCCGAGCCCGAAGTACGTGTCGAAGACCTCGAGAGCGGTCGCCTGTGGCAGTTTTCAGAGAATAGGAAAAATCTCGTTGCCTTCGTTCTTTCCCTCAAATTCCATCGAGTCCACCGAAGCTAGTCCCAGCGCGCCGTGACCAGTAGTTCCCGATAGGTGGGGGGGGAGACGCCATCGAGGGGTTCTCGGCAAGCTGCCATTGGCGGTGCAGTTCATGCGAAGGGGAACTGCAAGGGAGGGGCCGAACCTCCTCTCTGTGGTCGTGACGATGATAAAGAGAGACACTGTATTTTGTTCACCTTTCAACCCAAACTATCTTACAACAACAGCAACACCCCTTCATAATCGTTGTGCCACTTGCCTGCATCCGTGCCAGCTCCTTGTCAGGGACAGCTCTCAACGTTTTCAACATCCTCGGCACCTCCTCTGGCGGGAAAGTAAACGAAAACTCTGACCAACGAATCTTCCCCGGGAACGGCTTGACGAAGTCCTGGGAGTTGCAATGTTTGGAGGCAGTGGGGGTCGGAGGCTTGTTAGATGCCTCAGCGACGTACCCGTCCTTCGCTTTTGGTATCTCTCAGTCGTTGTTGGTTGTTGAGCTTCCATCAAGAGGGAAAAGTGTGCAAGATCCAGCCAGGACCACACTCTCCGAAAACGGTAAAGTGGTGAAATGCTTACATGCACAGCAGGAATTTTCAAGCGTGCCCTGATCTAATTTTCCAGTCGGGTGCAACACTCACGATTCTCGCTCGTGCTTCTCCGTACACGACCTGATCGGGTGGCATCAGCTCTTTGATGGCTTCTCTTCTGGCCAAAGGGCGTACCATGAAAAGAAAAGTTGAGCCAAAAAACTCGTCGCCGCACCAGCCTATTTTGGCTCCATTTTAGTACGGAATATCATTTTCTGCCGCCAAGGGATTTCATGAACTCGTCCGATGGTGAACTGCCCGACGCTACAAACCGGATAGAATCTGGTCGGCCAGGGCCTCGACAACGTGAAAATGGACAGCAAGGACGGGTGAAAGACAGCAAGAAGCACGTAACCTAGGGGCGGGGGAGAGAGGCAACCCAAGCCCGTACGCGGGAAAGGCTCCATCCAGGTGGTGACGTACTGCCGGTGATATGGACAACCGGTGGGACGTACAACCTCGCGCGTGAACACGGTCAAGCTCAAAACCGAAAGGAGAAAGACGAACTTTGCCATGGCCAAAAGGTGGGTGTAGATGGGCACTGCTTGGAACAAAAAACGGTTGTACCCGGTGAATTGGAAACCCGGCAGGCGTCGTCGGCTACGGTTATCAAAATAAGAACGGAAGATTTTCAATAAGAGGGCGTTTTTCAACCGATTATACCCGGATAACCGGATAACTGGCGCTGAACAAACCGTGAACTTGCCGATTTTTGTTTTTAGAAAAGCGCCTCTTAGCCGGTTTTCACTCATTGGATGTTCCCGCCTCGTGCCCATCGCTTCCTCGACACGACGGCAATACATTGTGGGCGTGAAATACTGCACCATACACCCGCAGAACGCCGACCGACTGGGTGATTGACGGACAGTTACGTATGCCACATAGCCACAGACAGACCCGGTTTTGGAAGATTGCGGCGTTGGTTCCTTATTTGATCCGGAAAACCGGTTAATCGGTTAACCGGTTAACCAGCGAACTGGTTAACCGGGGCTGAAAAAACGGCAGGACTACTCCTGTGTTTGAATTTTACGAATAACGCCTCCTGGCTTGTGATCGGATATTGTTTCTTCACGTCCGGTGCCCAACTCTAGCTACATCCCCGGTGTTGTAGGGGGGTTCATGGGACACTCAGTCGAAACTCTTAGACGTGCTTGGCGAAAACCTTAGAGCGGTAGGCCGTGTGCGCAAGATCGCTTCTCCGGTGCCTCAAGACGGAAAACGCGCTGCTACTACTAAAAACACTACTAAAACCACCGGGAGCCAATAAGACAACGCACGTGCTGTCCTTGAAGAGGACCGACAGCTACACAACAGCGCCTTGGTGAGCCCATAGGTATCCTACGTTTCGGCAAGCAACGCGCTGTCCCGCCGCCTCCATGCGTCCCGGTGACTCTGGGCAACACACCTGGTGGATGAAGACGGGAAGGGCTCCCGCCGATAACGCCTCGGCGAGGCGGTAGGTCGCCGGAGACCGGCCGGCCGGCAGCAGCGCGAAGGTGGTGTTCATGAGTTCCCCGAAACTGGGGCTGCTGTAGTACTCCCGCTGGGAGGCCTCGCACATGGCCTTGTTCCAGGACAGCAACTTTCGCCCGTCGCGTGTGTCGCGGGTGTATGTGTGTGTGATCGTTGGCGATGAATGCGATGGAGTCGGGCGTGAAAGAGGTTAAGAGTGCGGCAGAGGGCAAGTTCGTACGCTTCCGGGCCGGCTTGTTCCGAGAAACATGTGGACCATGCGGAAATTGGAAAAACAGAAGTATAAATGTAGAAAACAAATCAGACGGCCAACTACGTTGATGCGAAACAGCCGTTTCTTGGCGTGGCGTACCTAGCCATAACCTTGTCCGGCAAGCCCAAAAGAAACAAGCATTCTGATTCAACCACACCCACAACCTTTAGCAATATGTGAGGGCTAAGTGAAACAAACATGCTGTCACACCGCCGGTTTGTGCACGTTGTGGCGAATTCGATCGGAACGCACGTGGCATGGGTAGCGTTCGCTGTGTTGGTTTCCGCACGTTGCAATAGTTCTTTTACCTCCATCCCGTATCTCCTCCTCCGCACGAACATAACTGCATCGATACGGGTTCCCGTCGTCGCAGACATTCGTGTATTACAATGCCACGGAAAAAAAACGTACTGAATTCCACCCAGTACGTCCCCTTCCGTACTCTTCGGGGCACAAGAATGAAGAATGACATGCCCGAGCTTCCTTGTGATCACGGAGTGGTGGTTGGTTACCGCTGTGGGTACTGATATCCATTGTCCTCGCACTACATAAATAGTCAATTCCGTCACACGTGCCCTCACACTCGTGCAGGCCACGGTGAATGAAGGAATTCGCTCCAGCGCGTGGTAGGCGACGAAGCACTACAGCAGCACTACAGCACTCGCACCTGCTCGCTGTGGAAGTTGCAGCACCGCTCGACCACCAACACGTCGGGAGAGGAAGACGAATGACTGTCGCCGTTCGCGCCCTCCATCTCGCCGCGCCCTTCGGCCCGGGCTACGGCGGCTGAAGCCCCCCCGCTCATGAGGTCAAGCACCGCGCTCCGCTCTAAAAAGCCGTTCCCACTCAGGTACAGCTTGCCCTGAAGTGTGATGCGCGTGTGCGAGGGGAGAGGCGGTTTTGTTCGGTGCGGTATTGGTGGGATTGAGCGAGGCTTGTGAACGAAAATCTTGATTCTGCTTCCTTGGCGCCGCTAGTCTTTGCAGCGACGTTGTCGGGCGCAGCAGGCCTAGCATCAGGCGGAACGAGGTAGAGCACAACTTGGACACACGCTGCAAACGGAGGCAGGGGGGAAATGCGTCACCAAACGTAGAAAACTCCAAAGGGCTCTTGCTATTGCGTCGAGGGTGCTGTTTGTTTGAGCTCCGCACCCGGGGTGTCGCCGGGACATCCAGCGCGCGAATCCGGTGACATGCGACGGCTCGCACAAGTTGCGGTACTGCTGCCTGGCAGGAAGCGCTTGACATGTAATGTACAGTGTGGGGGCTGCCTGTCAGTTGGACAATATTTATTCAGCGTCAACGCCCACGGGTTTGCCTGCTGGCTGGGAGTCATGCACATGACACCATTTTTTCTGTGAACATTGTCTGGTTTTCTCGACGTGGAGGAGCATTTGTGGTGTCGAGGAAGCACGCCTTCACTCACAATCGACGTCAGACCTTGTCTACGATCACCTTGGGGGGAAAGCATTCTGGCAAACTGAGCCACATGCACCCGAACAACATGCGGCCTTGACAGGATGAAGAGTCCGTCCATGTTAAACCGGAGGCCATGGTGTAGCGGCCTAGAAAGTAGCTATTCCTCGTCTCACAAAAGACAACCCGAATAACGTTCAATTCTCGCAAGGACCAACCTTAACCTTGCCACCCTCCTGGTTGGACACAAACGCGATAACCAATATCCAGTATTCTCCCGACCGAAGGCAGAAACCTTAGCTCGCCTTGAAGGTGGCGAAGTACGTTCGGTCTCGTGGAGCAACCTCCCTGAGACGTTCGACGGGCCTACGTGCCGGGAGGGGCATCGCGATGTCGTATCCATGGCGGTAGTAGCAAGGCCGCATGTTGGACTGCAGGAACATCGCCTTCCCGTCGAGGGAGCGTCGCGCCGCACTGGCCCCCACCGGTCGAAAGCATGAGCGCACGATATGACCGTCGAATCATCCCGGAGAAATGTTAGGTCATGTGGTACTCGAGGTGAGGAAAGGATCGCGCTCACGGGTCGTGTTTAGCTAGACCTATCAGCACGCCGTAGGCTGGAAAACTACTGAAAGCTGTGTCTTTGTCTTGGTGTGATTCGCGCCAGGGGAATCTATCTTCACTGGTGCTACCCTTGCTTGCTTGACACCCTCACTTTCCAATCTCAAACACGCCGCCTATCAGTGTCAGCGAGTCCAGCAGAAACAGACCGAGATGAGGCCTACTAAAAGTGCTAGAGCTACACAGGCTGGCAGCGCGGGGGTTGGGGAGCTGATAGGGCAGCCGCGATAACACGGAGTTGCTGTCTTCGCCGTCTGACCCTGGAGTAAACGACGCAGAGTCGTGTGGCATTCGCGCGGCAGAGCGATTTCTTGGCGAGGTGAACATGGCCCATCTCGCCCCACACGCCACTACACCCGACGCGGCCGTCGGTCAACAGGTCGTGTGCTCAAGTCAGTTTCGCACGTGTAAGTGCTTCATTCAGCAAATGGTAGCAGCTCTTCGCGCACGGGGGGTGGGGGGGGATTCTGACGTTGCTGCGCATGTAACAACATCATCAAAATGCGAAGGTGTAATGCTACGTAAACGAGTGGCCGGCTTATCCTTCAGCGGAATCAGCCGAAGAAAGCGGCTTCTGCAACTCCCCTTCAACAACACGGCATACCCCCGCGCTCAAGCTGTCTCTATTGCTCATCGGGGATTGCTTTATCTCGGTCGGTCTCTCACCGGCTCTCGTCGTTCAAATCCAACAAGGCGTGGTTTTGTCCCCCTCCCCAGGTCGGCGTCTTCGACACGCACTCCGCTTTGTCTCTAGGTACCGCGTAGAAGACGATGCACGCTTCATCGGGGGTGTCCACGAGCAGGCCCCTGTTCGCCGTTCGTTCCGGTTTGCACAGCCAAGGCACCCGTGGCTTGTTTCTCGAGATACGGGACTGTGTGAACGCAAGGCACTCCGTTCCAATGTGTCCGGTGTGCACTCAGTAGGACCGGTACCCTTTTGGCTCATGGTACAAAGGGTATTCTTAAAATAAAAGAGGGGCGCAATACTATTAATATCTCTTGGCAATCTTGTTCATTGGATTGGCTTAGCTCAAAATTCGGGTAGTATCAGGATTATTAGCACTACCGAGAACATGCTTGCTCGCCGTGGGAAGCATCCCAAACCGTTTAGATAGAGCGGAAAATAGACGACCAAGTGGACGGGCGGTGTACAGCAGAACAATATTATTGTTGTCTGCTCGATTTCTCGATGGTGGGGATAAATAAGAAACTACTGAGGAGGACGGCTTTGGTACGATTTCCAGCCGGAAACACAGCAGCTCCCTGTCGTCTCTCCGTCTCACTCCTTCTCTCTCTCTCTCCTCCTCCCTCTTCCTCTCCCCCTCCCTCTCTTCATTCTCTGTCTCTGTGTCTCTCTCGGTGGTTGTCTCTCCCCCCTTCCCGCCCTGAAGCGCTGCCACCCGCACACAGCACACAGACTAGAGCCGAAAAGCAAAATACCACACGTCGAGGTGAGAGCCTCGTCTTTTTCTACTTTCACCGGCCACAGGTCGACACAAAGGTTGATTCCATGAATCGCTTCGAGAAATACTTGCACCTTCCAGCGCGTGGCCCCAATCTCGACTTGTCAGTGTTATCATCACGTACAAAAAATGTGTTCCCTCTCGTCTTGCATATACCTCATGCTTGAGTTTACCCCCACCCCCTTTTTGGGTCCAAGTGTAACACTCTTGGTCCTCTCTATCGGTGAGCTGGCTTGCTAGGCACTGTCTTCAAGAAACACATCACAAAAAGAAGAGCACAAGTACAGATCGCGCGTGCTCGCCTCAGGATACTCTCGACGGACTGGATCACACCGACTACTCTCCCAACGAAGAGGCCGTGTGACGAACTTGCAACGTGCCTCTGTCTGCACATCAACTGCTTCGAAACACCTCCCTCCCCCCCCCGTTGTTTCTTCTATACGTACCTCTCGGCCGCTGCAAGACGAAGGGTCTTCGCCGCCGCGTTCCACAGTTGGGTCTCCGCCGCCGCGTCCCACGGTGGCGAGACGGCCACATCCCCGTAGCTGGCCATGATCTCCGAGGTCTTCCTCATGGAGCACGTCTCGTCGTGCACGTAGACGGACAGCGAGCCGCCGCCGCCGCCACGGCAACGGCTGAGGTCAAAGCACGGAGCTGACCAAGGGCTGCCGCAAGCTACTTCAGCCCTGGTATTGACCATCAGGCAGTCTTTCGCGGGGTGAAAAAGTACGCCTTTCGTATTTCGACGAAAGTTGACAGGAAACACGTAAACAACAGAGGGCAAAACGAAGGGGACCAACATAGTAGGCAGGCAGGGAAAGGTGAAGATGATGGTCGGATGTACCTGGCGGAGGTGGCATTCAGAAGGAGTTGCGCGGGAAATCGGGTCCGGTACTCTACTGTGTGGATAGATAAACATTTTGTCTAGCGGTCAAGGGCGCGAACTCTGATGCTTGACTGCTGCCTCGTGTCTTCCCGCACAGGAGATTCGACAACAGAGTCGGTAGCACGGCGTTGGCCCAACGAGAGACATGTCCAACGCTCGGGAAAAAAACAGGCACCGACAAAACTGTCCCCCTGACTCCGACCTTGCTGGGCTCGATCCAACTTACTGTCCGAGCACGTGGCACCGTACGCTTGTCCTCCGCTTGTTCGAAGGAAGTTGATTGTGGACGTTGTTGTAGGCCAGACATCGGTCGTGTGCAACGGTTTCCGGCTATGTAAGGCAGGGAGAAAGAGAACGTACCTACTGTAGGAAACACGCCACGACTAAAACTACGAATCGTACAGCTCAACACGGCAGCTTGGCTAGCCACGGTGCACTCCCTTGTCAACCGACCATCATACACCGTATTGAATGCACTTCATCTCCTTCTGGGGGAAACCTCAACGCGGGCCGAGCAAGAGCCCTACCGGACAGGTGACCGTTTAGCGGCAAGGCTCCCAAAAGGACAACCAAACAATACCCCTGTAAGGGCTACTCTGTGTACGCGTGCACTTTCTCTCTCTCTGGGTGCATCATGGCCGTACTGGTGCTCACCTTTGTATGGGAATAGATCTCGCCAAGGCCAGAGCCCCGCGTAGGCGGTCAACGCCAGGATCAGAAGCAACGCGGCGACGGCGACGGATATGACCGCCAAGATACGACGGTTCTTCCGAAAGAGACGTGCAACGGTACCGGCGGGGGAAACCGCGGCGGTTCGTGTTGTCTGGTTGTGTTGGCCGCAGCGCCTAGAATGTCTCGGAGACATGAGCGGGCTTGTTGGCCTTGGCGCAGCGGTGACGTTGGTAGTTGTGGCGGCCTTAACATCTGTCTCCGCGAAGAACGAGTGACGAGTGAACCCCGGCGCCGCTGCCATTTTCCAGAGAGGGAAGCAGCAGTAGGTGCAACATCGAAAATCGCTTGGGCGTTGAGTTTGGGATGCGGATGCAGCCTTGTGCGTGGCGGTAGTCTGGAGATGCCGTAGAGCCCTTTGTGCAAACTAGGCAAGCGAACAAGTAGTTGCTACAGTAGACCCACGTGTTTGACATGGAAAAGAAACGAGATTCACAACAATGTGTTTGGCATCATGTACAACTATCACAAGGCACACATCTTTCGTGAATTTCGCTCATGGTAGAATACAGAAGAAGTTTGTCCTCACAATTACCACTCGTACAGAAGCCCCCCACAAGGCTCACCGAAACCAGCTACGGTAGGTGCTACACTATACAAGGCTACCATTTCCGCGTTTGGTGGTCTGCCTCCCTGGGGCCAAGCAACAGGAAATGGGCATACTCGTGCGTATCCCTATCGTCACTTCTCATCAAACCCCACGATTCCACCCCTGCCGCGGAAATTTATTCCGCCATGGGCAATCTCAGCCCCGTTTATACAACTCACTCCAGATTTGATTTTGATAGTAGAATATTATCCGTATGTTCCTCCGTCGGTGAGGTTAGGGTTTCCTGTGTCAGGGTGTGAGCAGCAGTGTACATCTTCGCCACTGCCGCCGGATGACGTCTCGACTGTTCGCAGACGAACCGTGACAAGATCGTATAGGATGTCGTGATGGAGCACCTCGCACCCTACGTTGACGGTATGGGAAAGTGAAGCTTCGACATCAGCTGTGCTCCAGTTTTGCGTTCAAACGGGCTTGCCTGGAAACTTCGCGGCACGAAACTGTCTGGAGCTTCCGTAATCCTGCGTGAACGTGATTCAAATATCTTACGCCCCGTCTTGGCCTGGCGATTTTTGTACCACCCGTAACTTCTGTGTGGATTCTGTTGAGGTTTGCGATCAAGTTTCTCGGTAGGGTGAAAACGCAAGTTTGCAAGCTAGTTTCATACGGGGGTTCTCAAAAGGTTGAACGCCCAAATTACTTGCTCAAAAAGGGGGGGGCACGGGAGACATATCTTGATAATGATAATGAGAGTGGTGGGTGCAGGTTAGTTTATACTACACATGCGTACTTTACCACCAAATAAGGAGGAGAGTTGCGCCAAGGGCGAAACACTTGTCCTAAACTACAGTTCGCAAGTCGCGATGTCGTTGCGAAGGGCTTTGTCCTGCCACCGCTTCACAGCTGCAGCAGCACTATTGGACGTGCCATGCCCTTGAGGGTCTTGAGAGGGTGTTGCAAAGTGAGTTGCAGGGTACGCACAGGGTGTGAAAGCAGTCACCTTGGCAACGTACCCACCTGTACAGGCGGGTCAACTGTCAGGGTGACCTCCCCAGGGAGACCTCGCCAAGGTGATTTCTGACCACCCTTGCAGGGTAGCCGAACGGCTGGCATTGCAATGTCATCATGCACGGATCTCAACTGCTGCTATTTAGTTCCGATTTTCCCCACAAACTAGTGATTCACGTCGTGCGCGAGGGATTTGTTTTTCTGATGATAAGCGTGTGCATGAGTGTGTGCTTCAAGTCTGGCGGTGTCTCCTACAGCTGTAACCCGCTGCGTTTGGCCGTTTGCTCTCATGTGTTTGTACCGAGTTTCTCATGGTGGGAATGTGTGCTTGCGCAGGAATCAAGAATGTTCCTGTTGTCTTTGATGTAGCCTCTTTTGGTTCGGAATGTCTCTCCTTGCAATAGAGCCAGTCGCGGCGGCGTTACGCGTCGATTGCACGTGCCGCTGATGCCTGGCCTCCCTCGGGCATGCGCGGTAATGACTGACGAGCCCCCTGCATGTCCCTGAGATGGAAGCGTGAGAAATTATAGGATGCCGCGAGAGCAAGATGTGCCAAAGCACGTAAAACATCACACGATATACACATGCATGAATTCGTCTTGCATGACATGCACATAGGCAAATGCTGTGCAGCTAGCGCCCGCAAATTACAAACGCCATTCGTGTCCAGCCTATATCCTTGTTGTGGGCTGAAAAATGAAGCGTACGTTGTTCAACGCGCTAAATCAATTGTGTCGCTGCTTTCCTTGCCGCCCGTACTCAGCCCCGATTTCGCACAACCGACGGCTATGGATACGAAGGGCACACCCTAGAGGCGAAAATAAGCTGCTATGCCTCGCTGTCGCTATAAGGTCCTGTACCCCCCCGTGAGTGATGAGGGCTAAAGCAAATCATATGCAAAGACACCGCACAATGCGTGAGCAGAAAGTAACTTTTTTGGTAATGAAAAAACGGCTTTCAGGGACCACCATGAGGCACCATGAGGAACCATGAGGTCTTATGGGGCACCATGAGAACCACCTCATGTGAGATCATTTCCATGTCTGCCTCATGGTGCGCCATAGTGCCCCATGAGCAGCTGACCATGAGAACTCGAGGTGCACCATGAGACATCATGATGCCTTGAGTGTCTACGATATTTTCCTATTTTTGCGCCTTTGTCTTTTCACTTTCTTGCGGATCTCGTGGTGCCTTATGATACTCCATGATATCTCACGGTGCCCCATAAGAAAAGCTATAATGGGACATCATGCGATTGCTCATAAGAACATCGTGATCGTTGTGCACCATGGAGCACCATGCATGGTGTCTCAAGGGGCACCATTCTCCGGTCTCCCACACTTTCGGTAGTTTTGATAACCTGTCCATGGGCAGCTCATGGTGGGCAGTTCATGGGGCTGCCCATGAACCATGGGCAACCCATGGACCGTCAATGCGTGCCCTTCGGAACTACAGGAGTTCTACTCCTAAATAATGGTAGATAATCTGCTTTGGAAGGGGCATGGCATATGGTGAGGCCCTTGTTCGCTACAGGTGCATCATGACGGCAATAAACACTAATGGTAACCCCAAGCCCACACGATACGTGCTTAACCCCAAGCCCACACGATACGTGCTTTAAAGGTTGGCGCTGTGGCCAAGATCTGGGTTGAAGTGCCCAGGGTGGGCACTTCGTGGGCAGTTCATCGGCTGCACATGGGCGTTACCAAGACTCCCGGTGTAGTGTGGGAGATCGCCGTTCGCATGGGGTCTCTTGGGGCACCATGACGAACCATATGGTGCACCATGAGATACATTTCATGATGAGGTGCCACGAGGTACGACCGTAACCCTACATGACCACAACGCCATCTAACCCCGTGCCCTGAGTCTCATCTACTTGAATGCATATGAGGCTTCACGACGAACCATGAGAAGTTACCCAAGAATGTTGAAAAATGTCAGTTTCAGCAAAACGGGGAGAATTGGGGAGAAGGGCAAAAGCAGCGGCGACGATAACGTAGTCTATTGCTGTAGTATTGGTTTACAAGTACAAGAGCAGCAGCAGCATCCGAGTCCACACTGCGGCTGCTGCTGTGAGGCGAAAGCGCGACCCGTTCTCGTAGAATCCACCGAGCATTAGCACAAGGTTTGAGGGAGGATTGGGTCCGGGTGGACCTCGGCGACGGTATGCTGATATTGCTTGAAAAGAACAAGAATCACACGGCTTCTCCGTCCAAACATGTGGCGAACATCTCCTAATGAATCTCTTCTTTGATGACGTGAACGCCGTTTACCGCCAACCTACAGGGAACATTTCCCTGTGGCTGGGTCTCTCTCACTCGCGGCTGTGGTGAAGTTTTGCCCTCCTTCCTCAGGCCTGTCCTCCGCTGCTACTCCTGCTCCTCCTGTTTCCACGAGCCCTCTTCCCCTTCTTCTAGATCTCGCCCACCAGACATCAGCAGCAGCATGTTCCTCCGGGTGGCAACAACTTGGTCCGTCCAATACAGCTGAGGGCGACTGGCTCCTTGTCCTCGTGCTGGATGGGCTCTGCTGAGGAACTTCCCATCCTCGAGGATTAATCACCATTTGCGCGAATGTTGTTGCTGCTGCGCTGCTGCGCTGGTGCTCCGATCTTGAAACCCAACAGTTGGTCCGCCATTTTTGTTTTTTCATGACTTCAAACAGATCAGCAGATATTTTGCAACAAGGAGTCACAGCGCTTCTCCTGTGAGGCGAAAGGGCGATCGGACGTAGAGCCCACCACGCGCTAGGCACAACGTCACAACGTCAGGGGTGGGCCTCGGTATGGTGCATGAGCGGGAAACCCTGCAACATTCAAAATGATACTCCAGCGGTAATGGATGCTGTGCCTTGGAAGATGAACGGAATTGAATTCGGGGTTTATGGCGCGTCATTGAATCGCAAGTGGCAAGTAGAGGAAGAAGTTGCGAGGAAAATTCATCGGACGACGTAGTGAAGTGAATACCCTACACAGCAAGTACAGTAGCAACAAGGGCGCAGCTGCTCCTGTGAAGCGAAAGGGTAGGGTGATCTACCGTAGAATCCACCGCGCGTTAGGAAAAAGGTGAGGGTTGGGCCACGGCTGGGTGACAGAGCGGAAAACCCTCACGAGCATAGCAGACCAGATAAGCATCACGAAGTTCCGTAGGCTAATCTCTTCCAAAATTTGGAAGAAGTAGAGTGGCGGCGGGTGTTAACAACCACCCGGTAATAACAACCACATTTTTTCAGATGGGGTTATCTCATTGATACACAGTCACGGAGTAGAACTTTTTTTTGAGGGAAATGGACAAAAGTGGGTATACCCACCCCTTTCTCGGACAAAAGT